CCAAAAATAGAAATAATGCTGAAATGAAAACTGATCAAGTTATCAATCCCTGCTAAAGCATCAGGATGTCTCTTCCACCTTTACCCCGCAGGCCTGGCCAGAATGGCCTGGCTGCTTTCCCAGCTCTGATGTCTTCCCCTTGCTTGAGTAAAGTCTGGGGACACCCATAAGAGCTGGGCCTTCTGGATACTATAGGGAAGGAGGAGGAGAAGGAACTAAAAAACGAAGTGACCAACATTTGCAAGCAGAGACTTTCTTGCCTGGTTAAACAGATTTATGGCTATTTTTGGTTTGCTCTTAAAAAGGCAGAGGACAGATGGCCTGCTGGGTGCCAATTTGCAGAACGAAACTCCTTCTTCAGCTCAGGGCTCAAAATACACCCCAGCCAAGAAGTTTCAACTCTTGCTGCCAGTATGCAGAGTAAAGCCATAGAAAGTCAAAGGTGAGGAAGCCAAAGGGGCATCTTCACAACACAGGATTCTTGGCCTACATGTACGTGTAGGTATTTTTGAAACGCTTTAACAACGGATTTCGGCTGGCTTCAGTCTAGCACAATGGGATTAATATGTAATAAAATGATGTTTTGGCCATCTGCAAAGGAAAGTCATTTCTCACCAATCAGAGCATGCATCATAATCCCGAGGCAGCAAAAGCTCTGATGCTAGAAAGAAAAAAGAAAAAAGAAAGCTGATCTGGCATGATAAATTGGGCTTGGCCTGGCTGCCAGGCATACACCACATTTCTCTTTAATACTACTCTGTAAGGACCACTGGTGGACCGGATAAATTCCCCTACAGCTACCTGGCTCTGACATCTAAGCAATTCCCCTTCACGGAGAATGCTGGCAAATCCTAACATTCTCGTCAGTCTTAAACCTGGAGACTTTTCTTAAAAACTGCAACCCCCCTTCATTATTTGAGGCAGGTAAGCCCAGAAGGAATGACTGCAATCTGCTTTGAAAACATCTGGCTGATCCCAGATTATGTAAAACAAAGGCCCAGAGACTTTGCTTTTAGAAAGACCCATCACAGTGGGAATTTTCTGAAATTGCAGCTTTGGAAGGAAACTAAAACTGCTTGTGAACTTCAGAGCCACAATGGTATATTCAGCACAGATCAACTCTTAGAAGAATAAAAGAATTTCGCAAATTCAGTTAAAATGGAAAAAAGAAAAACTGTTATTCTTCCTGTAAGCAGGAGAAAAATGGCAGCGATGAAGGGAAAACACCTGGGGAACTTCTAGGACGGGTCCCAGGATCCAGGACACGGCCAGCCCAACCACCCCTTACACACGTACCATACACAGCAAGGACCTCAAAGCCAGATCACTAATCAAAACGTGGCTTTTGAAGCACGTCAATATGGTTTTAATGAGGCATGCTTTACCAGATCCTACTTTGTTGAAAAATCATGCTCCACTTCCATTTTGACATTCATCAGATTTCAATTAAAAAATTAATGAGAACACTGATTCCCCAGGCTATTCTGCATGATGGGAATCTACTACGGCTCTTGTTTAGCTCTCTGGGGTGGATGGGGCCCAAGGCTGTCCTCCCCACAGCCCGGGAAGGGGCAGTGGGTGCCTCTGAAGCTGCCCCAAGGCCACAGAATAAAGTGAATGGCTAATCTCAAATGGCCTGGCTCTAAGAAGGCAGTTTCTTTCACGTCTCTAGTTTTTGTTTTTAAATTATGCTGAATTTTGAACTTAAAATTGTTTTTAGGGCTGGCCCGTGGCTCATTTGGGAGAGTGTGGTGCTGATAGCACCAAGGCCACGGGTTCGGATCCCTATATAGGAATGGCTGGTTCGCTCACTTGGGAGAATGTGGTGCTGACAACACCAAGTCAAGGTTCCCCTTACCGGTCATCTTTTAAATAAATAAAAAAAATTATATTTAATAAATTTGTATTTAAAATTATTCTCTATAACACACTTATTTTTTAACATTTTAGATTACTAATGGATTAAATTGTTTAACACTTTGCCCCAAACAGGTAAAACCAATGCACCGCAAAGATGCACCACATTTAATGTGTTGCTCTGAGTGTGATTCCACCCAAAGGTACCCAGCAAGCGGAGGTGTCTGAGCAGAAGAGATCAGGATTCCTCAGCCACTGCTCAGCCCCGCCACCACCCTGGCTTCTTCCTCACCGACTCTAAATCGTCTGAAAAAGGTGAAGTGGTCCTATGTTAACTTAAAGGGTGAAACTTAGATTAAATAAATAACACAAACAGAAGTACCCAGCTCAGTCCTGGGCACATAGTAGGTATTCAACAAACATTAGCTGTCCACCCCAGTCTTGATCTGCTCCACCTCCTCTCTAGCACGTGTTCTACAGAAGACAAAACTGCACTCGAACAGTAATCCATGGAATGTCACGTATTATGTCATATGCCAGTGACAGATACACTTTGGTACTTCAACCTATGGCCAAGTACCATCCTGCAATTGAAACCTCAGGTCTGAGGGTCGGCCCGTGGCTCACTTGGGAGAGTGCGGTGCTGATAACACCAAGGCCACGGGTTCGGATCCCTATATAGGGATGGCCGGTTAGCTCACTTGGGAGAGCGTGGTGCTGACAACACCAAGCCAAGGGTTAAGATCCCCTTACCGGTCATCTTCATATAGGGAGAAAAAAAAAAAAAAAAAGAAACCTTAGGTCTGATATCTCTTGTCTAGCATTTGGCTATGGTGAAAGACAAAGAAAGGATCTCTCTATACTCTCCTTCACTCACTATCAATGCTTCAATCTTCCTGTTGAACTCAAGGAAAACTGGCAGCATATGCAGCAAGGGAACCAGCTGCCCAGGTGTTGATAAAAGCAACTATATGCACACCTCTGAAATAAGGAGTGACGAGGGAATCAGAGAAAATACACAGCTGGAGTAACACACTTCAGCTTACATAAGAACAAAATAGCCTGGTTAAACACTAAGAAGAGTCTACTGAGAAAGATTTGCTCATCGTTTCTCACTTCTATGTTTGGTGTATTGCTAAAATACAGTAATAAGTAAACTAGCAAACTAAATTTAAACTCAGCCAAGCATACTTTCATGCTGTTTAAAGGAAAAAAAGCCCCTGCAGCTGACCAAATTAGGGATCTGATCATACCAACTTTTTGCCCATCTCTTCCATGTAAGATCAATGACAGATTTCTAATCAAGAAAAATGCAAAGACATTGTAGCACTATTTTTTAGACTGCATTTTGTAGTGCTAGCTTACAGGATTGCTGAGAGTTAAGTAAGGCCATGCACATAAACTGCTTAGCACAGTGGGCTACACATAAAATTCAGTAAGTAGGTCCATGGTGACAACTAGCACCACATCAAGTAAAGTCCTCCTTCAGACTTTCAAGGACACCTACTATTCAACTTTATAGTTCATTATTTCTCAACAGAGACTATCTCCTCTAACTGCTCTGGCCCACACTGCCTGCCCCACCCCCACCTCACATTTCACACGTTCGGGCCCAGATTCTATACAAAATTGGACCCAACCAAGCCAATGTTTAGGTCATTGTTTAAAAATCAGGACATTTCACACAAAAAACCACATATATGGCTCCTCCAGAAAAATATGAAAACAAGCAAAGGGCATCCCACTCCCAACAGGGCAAAAAGCACCTGGAGCAAAAAGATGGCTGCCCTTCCAGATGGGGCCCAGGCCCTGAGACCCTGCCATGCCTTTTCTTAGATCAGGTCCACCTCAGTGTTTACTCTTTGTTTGGGATCCATGATCCTGAGTGCATAGTGGGTTCATTCACATCGCAATCCAACTTCCTATGCTTTAATGCTCATCTGAAACGTCAGTTTGTCTGGCCAAGACCCATTACTTTTTCATACCCTCTTCCTCTTCACTGACGTCACAGAGCACCTGCAGCTGGCTTTCTCAGCATGGCCACTGACCTCCAGTGGCCTCCTCCTCCTCACCTCTTGAACTACTACAGGTAAAATATATCAAGTTCACACTCCTTCATAGGCTCGACTCTGTCTCACATACCTGCCTCTCTCTTGGGAGTTTGTGTCCCTATAAATATACAAATAATGGCACTATGGATTTTCTAGACTATCATGAAGAGTTTAATCTGTGAATGATATGAGTCTCCTGCAGTCATAATTTTTCCTAGTAAAACCACTATTTTAAAAGATATCTCACTGATGAGTCACATTTGGCAACTAATAATTACATCCAAGAAGACATGGGACACAATGAGAAACACAGAGGACTCAATTCAGAGGGCTCAGGTTCCAGATCCAGGGCCAGAACTCACTGGCCAAATGATCTAGGTGATTCAGTTGGCCTCTTAGGACCTGGTTTTATTTCTTTTCAATTGTTCCTATGGCTTTCTAGATGTTTTTGAATATTTTGAGCATTGTCAAGTAATATTACTTGCCAGTTAATATGAGGCATCATTTTGAGACTAATTATTCTGAATATTTAAAAACACTTTAAAAATGAATTAAGTATTTTAAAAATAGATGTGATGAGCTCTTTAAAAGCCAACTTTTGTTTGCTGTATCTTTTCAAAGTAGAAACAAAGCCACTGAGGCATCTTACAGGGTAGACATCTGTACTGTGTTGGTTGGAGAAGTTCACACAACAGTGGAGAGACCAAGAGCGCCTGATACAGCTGCACTGTTGAATGCGGGGCAGCGGGGTGCGGGTGCCTGTCTTCATCCTCACCATTCCTAAATGCAAGCTTCTAGAAGCTGAAGACAAGGTAGTTGGGGGAGGGGAGCAGACTGTAGTCAACTTTAGAGCTCCCATCTTGGGCTTTACCAACACAGATGGTTCTGAAAGAAAGTTCACCTTATGAAACTCATCTTCCCTCTGTCTTGGAGGAGTCTCGTAGCCCAGTAGTGGTATCTGGCTAGGAAGAGAGGAGGTTTCCTGTGTTTTGAATTCTGCATGGAAAAAAGCTACACAAAGCCACCAGTTATGAGCCATAGCCTCAAGTGGAGCCACAGCCTCAAGTGAAGCCACAGGAAGAACACACATACCAAGTCGATCAGGTCGCTGAGGTTTTTCTCGATCTGCTGTGGAGGCAGCCGCCTCATTAGGTCCAAGGCACAGTCCAGCTGCTGATCACTCTGTGGAGGAAGAAATAAAAGTGCATAAGTCATTTCTGCCAACAAGAATATCAAAAACTCCTTTTACAAAGCATTCTTCCAGTGGCTGCTTGCCCGGGGTATTCTAAGACCCAAAGGGCTCTGAAGCGGGCCCCCTGTCAGCCTCTCTGTGCCCATAGCCTGGAGGGAGATGGCTGTGCATGGTCTCTGCTCTCTCTTTGATAACAGTCTAGATCACAAGTGGGGACAACCAAAAGATCCCAGAAGAGTGGGAAGCAGGCTGGAGCGTTCAGAGAGTTCCCTCATCAGCTTCCTTTCTCCTACTCAACAGACCTCAGTAGCTGCAGAGGTATTAGCTCCCAGAAGGTTCTATGGCGAGCATGCTCAAGTAGCAAATTAGGTTTCGCCTTTGCTGTAACCTGGGTATGAATGCCAGGTAACATGGCCAGGCCAGGCTCCCTGATGAGCTCCGAGCCAGAAGGAAAAGCCTGGCAAAGAACAAGTGGCAAGATGCACACAGAGGTTAAAAGTGCTTCATTCATCCAAATAAAGCTTGAAAAACTTTCCCAAGCCCTGTGTAAACAAGACCAAGACCTGAACTGCATTACAGTCAAGAGCTCACTCTAGCTGGCAAAGTGGACTACAAGTGCAACAAACTGTGGTCACTCCTGCCTCAGGACTGGAGGACAAAAATCACTCTCATTTATCAAGTACCTTTTTAAAGCTATGCACTGGACACCTCACAATACTCTCTTCACTTAATATTTATGCTGCAAATATTTGCTAAGAGCTACCATGAGCCAGTCACCACAAACACACAAAAAATAAGGAAGGAAGGAAGGAGGGAATTGAGTGGGTTCACGACTGCTAAAGTGCAAAGCAGATTCGGTGCCCAGTGCGCTCTAACACAGAGGCTAGACCTCAGGAGGAGCAATGAGAAAGAAGGTGGGACAGGTGGGCCAGCTACAAAGGTGAAGAGCTTTGTACATGACTCTAAGAAGTGCAGGCAACCACAATAAGGCAGATGGAGTCCTCAACACTACCAGAGAGGCACTGATTTGTATCAGAATCTACTCTGCTCAGACCAATTTCAGGAATTTTGAAAGCCCTAAATCAACAAGCTAAAGAGTCTCACAAAATATACAAAGTAATCCTGAAAATGCCACATTTGGCTGTAATGAAATACAACCTTTGAATATCACCATCCATGCTCCAGGTCTATTAACCAAAAGCAGGTCATGGGGCAAGGACCCACTTTATATTCACAAAAGACATAACACATTGTTAATTGAAGTCAATTTTATTTTCAGATATCGATATGGCATATGCAGCAATCTATTTTTAAAAAGCATGTACCTTGCTGAAGATGGTTATCAGTAACAATTTATTCTGGGACACACAACAAACTGGTTACCCTGAAAAGAAAAAAAAAACCCCACCACACCGGAAATCCTATCACTTGTTTGGCTTAATGAAACATTCCAGCAACCATGGATTCCCTACTCGTGCCACGCACTTCTAGGCTAATGCATGTCAGCCAAGGCCATGGTGACATGCATGGGTTTGGCCTGCTGGCATGGGAAGAAATTTTTTTTTTTTTTTTTGTCTTTTTGTCTTTTTTCCGTGTCCGGCAACGGATCGCAACCCTCAGTGTTGCCCCCGTACCGGACCGGGGACCGGCAACGGGATCGCAAGCCTCGGCGTTGCTCCCGCGCCTCGCTCAGCCAGTGAGCGGGAGCCGGTCTGTACGTGGGATCCGAACCCTCGGATGGGAGCGCTGCCGCGCTTCCCAAGCGGCGCACTATCCAGTGCGCCACCGGGCCGGCCCTGGGAAGAAATTTTTACACCACAACTTGGGTAGAGCACACGGATAAGCTGATTTGACTCTAGAGGGACATATTCAATTCCCAGTTCTGCCATTCATCAACTTATGACCTTGGGCAAGTTTCTTAACCTCTATGAGCCTCTCTTTCTTTATCCATAAAATGGAGATAGTATCTACTTTACAGAGTTGTTACAATGATTTAGAAAATGCATGTGAAATATTTACTACATAGTAGTATATATTTAATAATTGGGGTAGTGTGTGTGTGTGTAAATATAGATACAGGTTTTTAATATTTTAAAAATATTTTTCAGTATAAGTATTTTACAATATTCCTCCCTACTCAACCCAATCCTGATCTCTCCTTTTGCCTTAAACTAGAGCTAGGTGTTCAAACTCCACAAGTAGCTATGTATTTTCTTTTTCTTTTTTTTATTTTTTATTTTTTATTTTTTTCCTTTTTGTCTTTTTTACTGACCGGTAACGGGATCGCAACCCTCGGTGTCGCGTCCGCACCAGGGACCGGCAACGGGATCACAACCCTCAGTGCTGTGCCCGCACCGCGCTCAGCCAGTGAGCGGGAACAGGTCTCCACATGGGATCCGAACCCTCGGCGGGAGCGCCGCCGTGCTCCCAAGTGGCGCACTCTCCAGTGCGCCACCGGGCCAGCCCCTTTTTCTTTTTTTTAAAAAAAGATAACCAGTAAGGGGATCTTAACCCTTGACTTGTTGTCAGCACCACACTCTCCCAACTGAACTGACCGGCCATCCCTATATAGGATCCAAACCCGTGGCCTTGGTGTTATCAGCACCATACTCTCCCAAGTGAGCTACGGGCTGGCCCCAGCTTATGTATTTTCTTGGCCGCACAAAAATAGAAAACCCTAAGAGATTCAATCAAACTTGTTAAAAGGAATAAACTAGGATTTCTCAACCTGGGATTACTTTGTGTACACAAATACCCCACCCACTGCCAGGAGACTTTGGCAATGTATGCAGACATTTTTGGTTGTCACAAGTGGGGGAGGGTAAACTACTAGGTAGGGGCCAGGGATGCGTCTAAACATCCTACAGTGCAAAGGTGAGCCTCCCACAACAAATGTTAATAGAGTCAAGGTTGAGAATCCCTGGTCTAAAACCAATTGTTCTGGGCTGTTGCAGACTCCTAGAATCTGATCAAAGATAAGGCCCTTCTCTAGAAAACTGCACACACAGAGAAACATTTCACATACAACTCTAATTCAAAGACCATTCGTAACCCATAAAAACTTCTGATCTTTGGAAAATATCTCGACCAGATCTTAATCTTCCTCAGGACTGAAAAGCAAACTTAGATATAAGGAAGCCTAGCTAATTTGGAACTGTAATCCAGAACACACTGGGATTCAGAAGGGATTAGCTAGGAATTGAGCAGTGTTATCTAGGAAAAGACAAGACAACTTCACCAGAAGGTCAACGTGAAAAGACAGCGAACCCCTCCGTGGAGCCTGTTCACAGCCCACCCCCCACATGCTGGTCACACCCCCACTCCCTGGCCTGGCTGTGTCTAGCTAATGGCACTAAGGTAGTACTGCAAAGTGATCTAACTCATATTTTACATTAATCCCAATTAGTCATAACTGGAAATGTTTCAGTACAAATTTCTAGGGCTACGATGTTTAACTATCATTAAATTAAGAAATGACTAAATGCTTCCCGAAAGTGAAGCAACATGGGAAAGCTTAATGACAGGTTGTAAAATCTTAAAGTTAACTGGAGCCATTCATTTGGGAGTCATCCCAAACCCTAGGGGGTCCAAACAGGAAACAGCGCAGGGGAATGAAGAAAGCGTGGAAGACCTACAGCTACAGGCAACAACATGCGTGACCCTGGAGACAGAATGATGTGGGGGAGTCCCCACCTAGGACACTGCCACTTTTATAAAGCTCAAAAACTATATTATCTAAACGTGTATTTAAAACTAATATAGCAAGGCTTTTTTTTTTTTCCTTTAAGCCAAGACAAGGGAATGATGTATACGAAATAGAGAAGAATAATGACAAAATGAAAGTTGGTATTTGTCTAGGTCTTACATGAAATGGTACGTTCAAGGGTGTTCATTATACCAAGATGCTTAAAACTTATGTTAAGCTCTCTGTCTCTGCTTCCACCACCTTGCAATATGAGAACCCTGGATCACAGTCACCACTTGTTTCTTAGACTTTGGACTTCCTAGCCTCAGTAACCGTAAGCAGTAAATTTTGTTTTCTTTATACCAAACAACAACAACAAAAACTTTATGTTAATATGTATGTTATCTATACATAAATTATGTTAATATGTAATTATCAGATGTCTATCTTTTAAAGGTAACAGGAAAAAATATGACAAGAGCAAATGAGGACAGGGCGCAGGATTTGGGAGTCCAGAGCCCAGGGTCTGCCCAGTCACTAGACTGCGACCCGGGCTGCTCAGTTCCCCTCGTGGCCTGGGATTTGGACTAGATGGCCTTTGTGATTCCTTCTAGCTGGATGGTGCTTTCCATCCTCCTGCAAGTGCAGATGCACCCATGCCCTGCCCTTCAACAAAACCATTGTCCCAGACTCAGCCCTTTCCAGGAAAACAACTAGGTTACAATTCAACCTTGCGTTGAGCGCCAGCCTTCGCAGGCCCGATGAATGACACCTAGTCCCGACTCTCAAGGAACCAACTGCCCATAAAAAAGCAAATAACCACAGGGCTGACTGATGTGTACAATGGCAGGACACAGAATGTTCAAAGAGACAAGACACAGTTCACAATGTACTGATTTACACTTCTTGTGTCAGTTATTTTCCTAGGATTTCTTTCCCTCTGGTTACTCCCCTAACCTTGTAAACTTCACCCTGTGACTAAGAGCTTTCCACATAACGGCTCCTTCAAAATGCTAACGGATCCTAGACACCTCCTTTCTAACATGAGCTGACCAGTGCTACCTCCCACTGGTATTTTCTGGGTTCAAAGGTAAACAGTAAAAAAATGATCATTTCACTTCACCCTCCAGAATTCTCTGCCCATTCAGTCATTTGATGATGATATACTGTTTCCTAGGTAACGAGCAATGTTTTTGATGCGGAATAGTGAACGTAAAGTCCCTGGTCTTCACAGAGCTTACAGTGCAATCAAAATCAACATTGGAAACAATCAAGGAAGAGGCCTTCTTAGGATGTCAAAGAATA